TTCATTGTGACATTATTTTCAGTTCAGTCAGTTAAAGCATCAGTTTTCAATGTCTAACTTTGAAGGTCAACCTCCTCTGCTCACACACAGTGAACATTCATCAACATCCACAAACAAACACATGTATATGTGAATTTCTATTTTGTTTTGTTTCTGTGAAAATACTTTCTTAATCTAGAGACTCTCTCACTTTGCAACTTTACGTTGCCGTAGATCTCTGTAACAGGTCTCATTAGAGTCCTGTCAACAAAATTGCTGATCCTGGAAAATCAAAAACCTTATTCCAACTGAAAGTTTGCCAAGACTTCATCTTACAATATTGATGTCCTTCAATTAATGACCATTTAAGAATTCTCCAAATTTGTTTCATTTACTTTTTAGGCAGAAATGTTGGAATACATTTGGATTGGCTAGATTTTCAAGAAGCCAAGAGTCAAAGTGATACGCACTAATCTCCGCTGTAATGATGTAACAGATCATCTTTAATTTTAATAACAATAAATCACTTAGAGTTTAAAATTAAACCTGTATTGATGCGATTGTTGACCGGGTCTTCAGTCCACCCTGTGCTGTGACCATTGTCATGCGTCCTCCATGTTGTCGTCAAGGTCGGCCACAGAAGCTGCAGTAATCTGTGCTCAGCTCCAGATGAATAAAACATGAGCTGGAAGATGTGAAAAGTGCAGAAAAAGGGAGACGTGTGTGTTGTCAGTGCAGATGGACCACATGTGTTCAGCCGTTTACAGCAGACAGCATCTCATTCACTGGATTTTCAAGTGTGTTCAATTGAACAAATCATGGTTCTGATGAGGGAACGCTCACTCTTTATTCACGCTGTCACGTGCGCATTGGCAGAGTGTGAATAATTCAAATCGATTATTAATATTTGAAACAGAACAGCTTGGCAGATGAAAGACGTTTAGGATAGACTCCTTTCAATCTTCTTCCCTCTTCCTCCATTAATAAAGAGATTAAGGGAAATGATGATAAAGGTCGAGTAGATGAAAGGGTGACTTAGAAATGCTAAGACAGGATATTGTCTTCTGATTTCTGCTCGATGGATGTGAAAAAGACATCATCAGCTCAGTCAGTGTCATGGGCTACAGTTTGGAAACTGGTGATTTCTGAATCAGCCAAGACTCAGCCCTCTGTCTGTCTCTTCTCTTTTTTTTTCTTTTTTTCTTTTCAATTTTGAAGTACCGTGGTTGTAATTGAGTGTAAATGTTTGCTATTGCATTCACTGCTCTGACAATGATTGTTTAATTGCTGGTAAAACACACGTCTCCTGGGTATGAACCTATGAAGACAGTGTGTTCTTATTGGCCGGACACTTGAATGCGGAAAGGTTCAACGGATTGATTTCTTAATCGAATTCATCAATTTCAAGATCACGGTCTCATACAAGTCAAATTAAAGAAAGATGGATCTCAACCAGGGGATGAAAAAGAAATGTATCGTGACACGGCTTGTTGAGGTTTTTATAAACCCCAGGGACAGGTACAAATGTGATGTATATGTATTATTTATTAGATTGGATTTGATAGAAAAACACGATTCACAACAACAACAACAACAACAACAACAGTGCATTAACGGAGTGTTTTCCTCTTCACCGAGTTTGTTTGGTTGGATGAGATTATCATCATCCTGAAGTGGCACTCGAGAAGAGAACGCAGTCTGTCTGAAAATGTCATTACTTCACACGTCACAGATCGAGTTTTGGATCAGATACGAGCTGGAGTTCGATGTGTTTGTTTCAGCAGTGAGGCCAGTTAGCCTCGTGTCACAGTTTATTCTCATGTAACAGCATTGTGTTTTGCTTGTGCGTTTTATCTTGACCTGGATCCTTTACCGGGCAGATTCCTGTTGTGTGAATACTAATTAGTTTCTGCTGCAGCGTCTGATTCTGTCACAGCAGGATGAGACGGAACTGAACTGTGCTGAGGACTTTGAGTCTGCGTTCTTTCAAGTGTCTCGTTCTGTCCTGATAAAACCTCAGGAAGCTGTTGGTGTTATCAGGGTTTTTTTCTTTCAGATTTGCACTTGGGAGGATAAAAAAACCATTTGTCTTTGTTCTCTTTTTCAGAGAACTATTCTCACCAGTGTTCCTCACATGTGACAGAAGTAGGCAGAAGAGAATTACATTACAGAGAGCCGTGGATTTAACTGACTCCAGGGAGAGAACAGAATGAGCAGAGTCAAGGTTTTTCTAAGCTACATTTTACGGCCGGACTCCATTAAATGAACCTGTCCCTCTGCCTTTGCTGCTGCTTTTTACAGAATTAATGTTTTTTTGTACGGCCTAATGTGACCTACACAGTGTAGTCAGGATGATAAAAGTCTTCATAAAGTCAACCAGCATTTTATAATGGGCTTGTTGGTAAAATGGGTTGAACCTTTGGATTAGGCTTGACCTCCACTGTGATGAACTTCTCCTCTGATTTGTCACTTATTATTTTGGTCAGTTAAAAAAACGTGTCATTTGTACATAGTTGTATAAATAAGTATGTTTTACTTTTTTTCAGCCCTATTCCATATTTCCACCCCAGAGTGTTTTCTGTAAAGTGCAGTCAGAAACAGTGCCGTCTCTTGGCGGCAGTTCGCCCGTGTCCTTGTGTTGTCAGTTAAGGACTACTGTCCATCTAATTTGATCAAAAGTCCCACAGAGCAGTTGTAAAACATTATGAGCTTGGTGACTTTGACCATTACAACTTGGTTTTATCAGGTCGTCTGAAACTGTTAGTGTGAAACTATTTTAGTGAGAAATAATGAAAAAGTAAAGCTGTAATAACTAACATTAGATGTGGTTCAGGTCAAGGTATACTTTTAAAATCAAACAAACCTTGGTCAGGTATACTTTTAAAATCAAACAAACCTTCTACTGTCATTTTGAAGTTGGTCATAACCCTGAACATTGACCTTAATCATCATCATGTTCCTCTTACACAGTAACTTTCCTTTAACTTCAAAGTTTAGTGTAACTTTTTCGTATATGTTTATGGGATTTGAGATGAGATTAATTCTTAATTTGAGATTTTAAATCACTATGCTTTGCATTGACAGAATAAATAAAAGTTTATTCTCACCAATCTTTGAATCACCTTAACTGTGAACTGAACTGTAAAGTGTTCAAACGGCGATCAAAAAAATGCCGAGTTGTCAAGTAAATCAGAGAGCATAATCAGATGGTAAAAAAAAGGAAGGTAGAGGAGAGGATACTGAGAAGGATGCAAAGATAAAAGACTGAGAGGCACAGATGCTGAGATGCAAGGGAATAGATGAGCGAGGATAAAAAACCATGAGAGAAGCATTTTAGGATCCGTTTTTAATGCAAAATGTAAAAGAAGAATAAAGACAGAAACTGAAGAGAGGAGGGCTGTGAGTGGAGTAGAGCTGGAAACCAAGGCTGTTGTTGTTTGGTTGATAGCCAAAATTACAAAATCCAAACAAAAAAACCAAAGCAAAAAGACCAAAGGAAAATACTTCCAGTACTATTTCACTCCGAGCTGTGAAGCCTGAATGCTCTCTGTTTGTTTTTCATGCTGAAGAAATGAACTCTGCAGTGAGAAGACACACACTGTGCATCGGAATTACATTTTTATAGTCTGGTGTGACTCAGAACAAAATCTCAGAACAGTAGCAAACCTGAGAGGTCAAATCAGGCTGCTGCTCCGTTCTGCTGGTGCACAGCACTCACCTGACTGTGTAGTTCACCTCAGGCAGAGATCGGATCAGACGTGGAGACACGGGGGCCCAGCCGAGGGCCATGGTGCTTCCCCGGGGCCTGGCCTGAGTCGCTCTGAAATATTCAGTTAACTCAGGTGACGTCTCAAACCTTTTTAGACACGGGTTGTTCTGAGGACACTGGTGCCGCCCTAGAGGATGAATCCCTCAGGGGGAAAATCCACCAGCACTAAAAGCTGTCACATGGATCGTGTCCTTATTCCCACCAGCGACGTCGGTGCTGATTACTGTCTCTTTGATTTGGTCGGCAGAACCATAATAAATGTCAGCACCATTAATAGAGCTTTAAAGATTCTGTGAGGAAAATAAATTACAAAACTATCATATTATAAAGTTGGCCCGTGATGGTCTTAAACAAAAATGCTGCCCCACAGTAAATTCAGATTTTATTGTCGGGAGCATTTAAAGACGTAAAATAAGACAGAAAAGGAAGGCTGAAGTATCAGTGAAAATATGAACGAAGTACTCAAGAAATATCAGTCGTTTTTAAGGTGTTAGTTATGGCGTCTCAGACAGTTTTGTCAGGTTTTATCATAAAAGCCCAGACAGGCATTAAGTGTTAGGGTTCCAGGTTGTTCAACACTCAAAAACTGAAAATAAAAAATGAAATCAGAGACAGCGTCTGGTTTTTAACAAAATCTTAAACAAAACCAGTTGAAATGAATAAATCCTTGCAACATATTTTCATTGAGCTCTTGAAGTCTTCCAAAATGAAAGGATTATTTGACAGAAACATTTTTGGTCCTTTGGTGAAAAGAAGCAAATCTCAGTTTGTGCTCAGACTGGAACGGAGGAAATGTAGAGAAACATCACTGCAGAGTCTGAAAAACAGTTCGTTTGTTTATCATGTAATTCAGTATCAAACGATGACCGAGTGTTGCTACGATCACATGCTTCACTCTGGGCTGATGCAACACTTTTTTCTGTTACGTCTGCTGCTGTTGTCTGTTGTTGAAAAAGGACCAAACTTTTCTGTTACGTCTGCTGCTGTTGTCTTTTGTTGAAAAAGGACCAAACCTGATGATCTGGTCTTTCAGCAGAAGTACCTCATAAAGATGCTCAGTGCATGTTGACGGCCTGATGCGTGCACAGCACACGCACCGCCACAGACTGGAGCGGATCTTCACACCGTGGTGGAGTCCAGTTGATGAATATGTTACGTCCGTGTTTTTGTGCTTGACCTACAAAAAAAATGAGCTGTCTTCTAATGTGACGCCTGACTGTGTGTGTTTGTCTTCTTCATCTGCTCTCCTCAGATACACCAAGATGAAGACAGCCACCAACATCTACATCTTCAACCTGGCCCTGGCCGACTCTTTGTTCCTGGCTACACTACCGTTCCAGGTAGGTTTTTTTTTTTTTAACACTGAACTATCGAGCACTTCTTTTAATTTTTTATTAAAGGGCCGACACCAACAAATGTCAACAAAGATCATCAACAAAACAATGTTGAAAAAAGAAAAAAAATCAGCAAAATTTAGCTTTTTAGTTCTGTACAAATTAACAGAATTGAATATATTAATATTTGGGATGACTTGATCCAATACACAGGATCAGTATCAGGAAAAAGAAAACAACAGCTCTAGCCCATCTGATCAAATACCTAAAACCAGTATCGCCTCGGCAACGACAGCCCGCGGCGTGCTGAAGGACAACAGAAGATATCACATTGGAATCGGCTTTGGCTCCAAGGCTCCAGAATTCTAAGTTCCATCATCGGTATCAGACATGAAACAGTTGTATCAATCCAGTATAACAGCAAAACCATTGTTTAGCCGATTCATTGTATTGTAGCAAATAGTGTTGTGTCTATTGTTGGGGGATTAGGTACATGACTTTGTTCCATTATGACTTTGTTCCATTTTAATGGTACTCGTCCCATTTTCCCATTTTAATTAAACAACCTTTTAAAATGCTGTGCTTTCAAACACGCCACACATTCAAAACCAAGTGACGGAGGAGAATCACTTCTTTGGACTCTGCAGTGAAAAACCCATAAAGGTTGATTATCAGGATCTCTTCCAAGCTATTCATTATATAAATATATTTTCTAGAAGGTTCTGAGGTGTTAACAATTCTCTGCTCCCGTGAGCAGAATCGTTTCCTCCTCATTAACTGATGAACTCATTGTCCAGAGCCTGATTCTCGCAGACTCTCTGTTTCTCTTCGAAGTTGTATTTTCTATGATGTCGTCTATTTTTATATTTCCTTTTTTTTTTCAGGGCACTGATGTTTTCCTGGGCTTCTGGCCTTTTGGGAACGCTCTGTGCAAGGCTGTCGTGTCGATCGACTACTACAACATGTTCACCAGCACCTTCACCCTGACGGTGATGAGCATGGACCGCTACGTGGCCGTCTGTCACCCTGTCAAGGCTCTGGACATGAGGACGCCGCACAAGGCAAAGGTAAAAATGAGTTGTTTTAAAGTGAGATATTTGGCTTTTTGAAACCTTCACACCTGTGTTCTCCCTGGAGCGACGACTCACATCGTATTGGATGTCAACAAAGTCGCCTTCGTCCTTGTGTCCTCTCTGGTGCGGAAGGTTTTGCAGATGATTTATACAAAGTCGCCTTCGTCCTTGTGTCCTCTGTGGTGTGGAAGGTTTTAAAATGCAATTACTGTTGTCTGGTGGAGTTTCAGCTACCAAGATGTATCAAAAACAAAATGTTATATTGTTATATATTTTCATCAATGTTAAGTTGAATAAAATGTTGTGTCGGGTTGGTTTAGGAGATCCAAATACGAGCTCTGAGGTGAAGTCAGGTGACTGACGTAATGGTTTAGTTTAACTGTTTAGGAGCTTGGTGTTTTTTTTTTTGGTTTTTTTTATGTTTGTTCTTCCTCCTCTGTTCTCAGGTGGTGAACATCTGTGTTTGGGTGTTGGCATCTGCTTTCGGCGTTCCAGCCATGGTCTTGGGAAATGTCGAGGAAGAACAGGAACACAACAGTGAGTAACCATTGACAGCACGTACAGGTTTGATAAATCAACATAGAAAACTCTCGGTGTCAAAGACCAAACCTCATCATGTTTAAAGTGTGATCCACGTCAGCCTGTTTCGGTTTTAATTTGCTCAGCACCTGATTTAATGACTCCACACGTCTCAGTGTGCTGCGACCCGACGCTCCACATGACACCCAGAAATGACGATTGCGGCAGGTGAAAGTGTAACTTCTACCAAAATAGACTCCAAAGGCTCCAGAGTTTGTTATTAGGAGGCACGACTCACACGTCTACTGTTATTACAACAGCATTAAAATGGGTCAAAGGTCGACGTGTCCTGTAGTGATGTTCATTTTTTTTTTGTCAATGAACAACGTATTATTTTATTCCATGATTGATCATGACCCTGATTATAGTTATGAACAGCAGTGTAAACCCAACGGAGGTTCATTCATTCAGGAAAATAAAAACAAAACAAAAAGAGTGATTAGATTTAAGGGAATAATGATACAATTAAAGCAGAAATGCACCTTTTCAGAACAGATGATTGGTTCCCACGCAGCAAATTACAACCTTGGTGTTTAATTCACCATGTAGCTGTTTACTGCTCCACTATCCTGAGACTTTTCTTCCCAATTTACTGATGGATTTTACTGAAGCTGTTACTTCACAGACATTTGTCTCAACTTTTCTACTGCACAATCCACTCAGCTCTAAGCTGTTTCTATTTTTTTTTTTTTGCATAATCCTTTAGTTCCATAAAAGGCCTTCTGAACGATATTGACATCAGCAACAACATAATCTTAAACCACAGAACTCACCTGCAGAGTCAGTGGAGACGGCAGTCAAAGAGCCACAGACAAAAACAACGTCAGGAGACATCGAGGCTCTGGAGTTTCACACTCTCTTATCTAAAAAAAAGACATTTTTGAACGTCTACAGAACCCTGTTATGGTGCTTTTGAAATGTTTGTCGTCAGTTCAGTCTTTTTTCATTTCAGTTTCTTAAGATTCTCGATGATTGCCCAGATGGATAACGTCAGCTTCATTCTCTGTTTGAAATAAACTCGTTCCGTGTCTCTCGCAGAGCAGATATCAGTTTCTGCTGAGTGGATCCAGCTGGGTCCTTTTACAGTCTCTGTGTGTGTGTGTGTGTGTGTGTGTGTTCCAATAAAAATCAAGACATCTGTGTATTCTAGCCTACACACACACACACACACACACAGCTCACAATAGAACAGATCCACACACTCCAAGCTATATAGGGCTATAGATTTTTGTGTCTGTGTAGTTGTGAGTGAGGGTGGAAAAAAAGAGATACATCTTTGCTTGTAAAGCCTGCCTTGTGGGGACTTTATTTTGAACACCTACCTTTATTTTGAGGACGATCACGTCTTTTTGGGGACATTTTGCATTTTGTCCTCATTGAGCAAAAGCACAGACTATAGAACGAGTTAATATTTGTTGTGATTAGTTTTAGTCAATGTGATTGCTTTTTCAGTTAAGTGATTGTCGTTGTCAAATTTGTTCAAAATATTTGCAGTCCCAGTATGGATTTACTTTCTTACGTCCCTGTCAGGCTGGTGTCGTATGAGCTGTCTTCACCCGTGTCATGTCAACTACCGCGGTCATGTGGACCGTTAGCTACAGGATGATAAATGACGAGTTGATGATGAACAGACTGGAAAGCGGCTCCACTGTAACCTGGAACGCCTTTAAAAATAAGTGGTGTTGATGATGGACAGATGCCACGGCTAAACAAGCCGGGATGATCTGTCAGAGTTTGTCAGAGTGATGACCCAGGCTGAAAGTAGGACATGAAGTACTCGGAAAGGTAGAAAAGCAGTCTGCCATAGTCAGTTATATTTACAATTTAAGGAGGAAAACCCGTCTGCAGGCGTTAGATCACCTCAACGTGCTGTTTCTCTGGGGACACAGTGAGCGTTGATCTACGCTGGAAGAAGAGCAGCTCATCTTTATTGTTTGCTTCTGCTGTAAGGTTGGTGTGGGTTAACAATGTGCAGCATAACAGTTTTTACAAACAATAAAAATCTCTTGTTAAACTGTTTAAATCCAAGAGAAAACGGTAGTATCTGACCTCATGGGCCCCACGATACAAATTTTGGAGATATTTTTTGTATAGAACACGGAAGAGGAAACACATTACCACAGTAATGGTGGGCAAATATAAAAACTGCACCTGCCATTACTTTATAAGGAGTAGACCATTGAGAAATAAAACCCCAAAGACATGATCTAGGACCTTAACCATTGAGAAATAAAACCCCAAAGACACGATCTAGGACCAATCCTTACTTACGGAGGACGAATGCTGCTTCTTCAACCATCTTTGAATCATCACACCTGCATCTTTCCCTGGTTTATTATTGGTTATTTACATTCATCGAACATATTTATCAGCGCTGTCACCAGCCCATCAGTTTAAGACCTTTAACTTTCTGTTTTTATTGACATTGTAAATTGGCTCAACGTCTCCATTCTTGATTTTCTGACTGGTCCGAGATCAGCAGGCGCCTCTTTCTAATGCCACCCTGAAAGGCGTACGTTACGAACCTCAAGGCTTCCTCCTGTTATCTGTCACCGATTCTTATCTTATTATCTGTAAACAAACGCATTTGGAAAAACAAATATATATGTATTGCCTAGAAAAAGGAATTGAGGAGATAGAAGAGAGTTGGTATTTATGCTAAAAAGACATCAAAGCATACAGTGAAACAGTGTGTGTGACATAAAGTGCAGTTATTATCAGGGCTCTTTTGCGGTTAATTTGAGCAAAATGTAAGGGGAACAGAAGGCTTAGTGGTAGAATATTGATCCAGCCCCCGCCTGCAGCTATAGCTTAATCCTATAATCGTTTTTATTAGTCTACTCTGCAGCTGAGCTGCATCTGCACCACACTCTCCTCCGTCTGCCGTTCCTATTCATCCACTTACTGTCGGCGTCCTCTTTCTGTCCTTTACCAGTTTGATCTTACGCTCTTGTCGTTTTCGAGCCTTTGTTTCAATTAATTAGTCCCCAATTATTTCAAATGTAACACTGTTGCTCGACAGCGTTCTTCCTCATGTATGGAATGTTCGTTATTTGATTTTAATATATGAAATCAATGGGTCGTTTTCGCGTCAGCCTCGCAGTTTTCACGCCATTCATTCATTTCATTGAAATTCTAATAATCCGTGACTAGAATTTGATATAATTCTTTTGTTTTTACTCTGAAACTAGTCCATGTCATTAGAACATAACATTTCTTTGTTAATTAATTTGCACATTTCTCAAATCCATTGCCATATGCAGAATGTCCCTTTATTTAGATGTTTTTTTTCTACATCTTTTATGTTACATCTTCCAGATTTTATTCTCATCCTAATTAGCTTGACATATTATTTTCTCTTAAGCAGTATGTCATTTAATTCATTTGTTTCCTTCGGACTCTTCTCCTCTGTCTTCGTCTCTCTTTGTTCGCGTCTTATCTTCAGACAGCTGTAAACTCTCTGTTTATTCACCTCCACGTCTCCTTGTGGCTGTTTGATTATCATCTTGGTTCTGTCTGTGACTGTTCTGGGTGAAGAGCACGTTAACATTCAATGATAATTAAGAACCACTCCACTTCTATTGTCTCTAAACAAACAGAGAAGAGAAAGTGCTGCTGGGTTTGAACCTGGCAGCTGCCAGGAAAGTCACTGAAAGTCACAGTCAGTGCGCTGGTCAGTAATTGAGGTTGAAAAGCCTTGCCCCAGGACACGGTGGCAGGAAGGAGAGCATAATCAGCAGCCGCCTGAGTGTCGCTAATATTTGCTCTGACTAATTGGAATAGAAAAGAAGAAGAAAAAACAGCTGAGTTTCCTGTCGTTTTACTGTTTGAGGTCACTGACACAAAGGCTTCAATGGTAAAATGTTTCATTTTTCTTTTTTATTAAAATCACACTCCGTGTTGGTGTCTGTAATTACAGCCAATGAGATCACAGTTATTGTAACAAACATCAATTTTAACAACAATTATCAATGTCATAACCAACTGAAGTTGGTGCCACTCTACTGAAAAGTGCCTTCACTTCCTTTCCTGATCGCAGTGCTTTGAATTTCAGTAAAAATACGTTTTTAAGACAACACTTTCCTGTGGTTTGACCAGAGAGGAGAAAACCTCGGACCAATAAAAACTATTGTAATCCATGGAAATTAATCTGGAGCATATTTCAAATTGACAAGATTTGACAAGTCGGTGAAATACTTTACATTAAAAATCTGACTACTACAAATACAAATACACAGGTCATCATTCACAGGGTAAAGACAGGAGTGGGAGGTCTGTCTGTCTGTCTCCCTTACCTCCTGTTTGTGCCTGCTGTGCAATCAGTGTCACCTGTGTCACTCACCTGTGTCACTCAATCACCTGTTCATTTGTCTCAAACTCA